TGATGTTAGGACCATGAAACAGTGTCTACCCTTAGCAGTATCATTTTGGATCAGTGATATTTTTTCTGCAAAAATCTAAGCCATGTCTGTCTTTCGTGTACTCCCTATAATAATATTGTTTTCTCCGCAGCATCCATTTAATTAAAATAGAATCAAGGAGTTCTGCTTAAACCTTGTCTAAGAGCTAAGAGGCAGACAGGCATTGGCACAAAGGGGCCAATCTTTAAAGAACCTTTGGAAAAACTCCAGTTGGTTCCTGTGGTTGGTGTTCCCCCATTCCATTCTTAGCAATGATGCAGTTCTCTGCAGGCTCAGCCATTGTCTACCAGACACCCATTTGCATTCTTTCTCAGTCAGTTCTCATTACTTGGAATTCCCTCTGGGCAACTAAATCCTACTCATCCTACAATCCAGCTCATGTACCATCTCTTCTAGGAAGCCTTCCCCACTAGGTTTCCCATAGTTGATATCCATTATCCTTATAGTCTGTTTCCTCATGTGTAGAATGAGGAAAATAACAGTGCCTACAACATGAGGTTGTTGTGAGGATTAAAAGGCTTAATTCATGTAAAGTGATTAGATGCTAGGAACATAGCAATTTTGACCAATAGTTTAGTAATTGTTATTTATTACAAAACATTTAAGATTTAAAAGCCCTTTGTTTAATGCTTTCTTTCTTTGCTTGCTTGCTTATTTATACATCCTGTCTCCTTAAGAGAAGGGGCAGGGTCACACGGGTGCTTAGATGGAGAGCACCTCTTGTTCTTCCTGTGCTGGTAGGTCTGTTTAGGATGCACTCTGGGGACCGTACAGAGAAGCTAAGACCAAGTTCCCATAGACACAATGACCAGGGATCCAGAAGACTGGCAACACGCGATGTTTTAATCTTTATATTAAAACCTGTTCTCTCACCTGGCTCGCAATTCCAAGGCAGAGAAACCGATCAGGGTGATTTGTGATTTACCATCATTGCAATATGGGCACCCAACTGAAACACTTCCCTGAAACAGCCCTACTTTTAGCCACGCAGTAGAGGAAGAGGGTTGAACGCAGTCTTGGTGATCTATAGCTGGGAGAGCTTGGTTTTTCAGGAGAGTGAGTGCCTCAGTCCCTGAAATGAGCAACAATCCTGACAATAAGGATACTTCTGCAGAGGGGAATGCAAATCCCTGGACTCATATTCCTTTTACATTTTTTGGGCTCTTATAATACAGGAGTTAGCTGAGTTTCTAATTAGGCTAGGGTTCATGGAGTGGGTGAAGGACTCATTCATTTCCTTTTAATAAATATATATTTTAACGTCAAACAATCCCTTTGATGATCATTGAATGTTCTAGCAAGATGCAGGGCCACCTTGAGTCACAGACCAATGAGATTTGATCCCCTGAGTGATAACTACCTTTCAACATTGTCCTAGGTGCTGGGAAAAAAGCAGTGAAGGAATGAGACAAAAATCATGGCTCTCATGATACTTGTTTCCTGGTGAGGCAAGATACACATCAAATAAAAATTGCTAATATTCCGGGTTGTGGTAGGTTCTATGGAGAAAATGAAAGATGGCCAAGAGAAGAAAGAATGTAAGTGCGGGCATGCACCACGTATGGAGTAGTCAGGGGAGAGCCTTTTGATGAGATAACATTGGACAGAAACTGGAAGGAAGTCACTGGACAAACCCTGGGGAAATATGGGAAAAGAACTTGGTAGGCAGAGGAGACCACAGATGCAAAGTCCCTGATGGAGGGGCAAGTTTTGCTGTACAAGGGGGCAGGATGAGAAGGGAAAAGAGACAGGAGACGAAGTCAGATTGACAGGGGAGCCAGATCACAAAGGGCCTTGGAGGGCCCCAGAAGGATTTTGGCTTTTACTTTAAGTTTGTCAAGACCCACTGACAAGTTGCGAGCAGAGAAGTACATTCTGGCTTCTGTGAGAGAAATGGAATGTAGAGGGAAAGGGTGGGGGCAGGAAGGGGGACTGGCAGGGACTGCTGATCGCCACGTGATAGTGGCCTGTTCTTTCTTACTTCGGGAATACCATCCTGATTTTTAGGTGGCAGCGATGCACCCAGCTGAAATCTCTATTTCCTGGTCCTCCCTTACAACTGAATGTAGTCAGCTGACTATCGTTTGGCCAAAGATCTCTAAGAAGAGGACTGAGGCATTTTTGGAACACAGTTTAAAAAGAACTTCGCTGCTGGGAGGAAGTTTTCTTTCCCTCTTTTGCTTTCCCCTGTGGCCAGCTGCAACATAAACATAATGACTGGAACTTCCAAGGCCATCTTGAACCAAGAGGTGACCTTGAGAATGGAAGCCACATACTGGGTAGAACAAAACGCTCCAGTAGGTCCCTGATGGGAGCTGGAGATGGCTCATGAACTCTGGATTGCCTGTTTCTGGACTTGTTTGCACTTTCATTTTTGTTTAAGCCATTATTATTTTGGGGCAGGGCACAAGCCCGGGTTTCAGGCTTAATCCCCAGTGGGGGTGCATGCAGGAGGCAACCTATCCACATGTCTCTCCCTCTCACTTCCTCTCTCTCTAGAACCAATGAAAAAATAAACAAAAACATCATATCCTAGGGTGAGGATAAAAAAAAAAGCAAACTTTTATTCCCATACTTTTATTTTGAGATGTTTGTTTCCTTTCTTCTTTTTATAACCTCATGGTTGCTCAGATTTCTGTTCTTATGAGAATGAATAGAAGGTTTCTCAGTGCATTCTGTGAGAGCAGTCTCTAGACCTGGGGTAGTCCTTGTGAGCCCAGAGGGTCTTGCACATTATTTTCTAAAGAAATACACTCACATTATGGGGCCAGGCTTCAGTACAGGTCCAATTTGCCAAAGGTGGTCTTAAACTATTATGGAAATTGCTTTGATCCTTCCATATTGTAGTCTCTCTTCATTAACTCAAAAATTATTAATGGGGAGCCTTTTTTGGGTACTCAGTGTTTTAATTCACATTAATGAGCAATGACTGATTGGCTTAATTCCCTCAGGGGCATTCACATTTCTATAATGTGTGTTAATCTAAATAAATCTCTGATTCATGCAATAAATGTGAGACAGATCATTAGGGTTTTCAGTGAGAAAGTGGGTTAGGTAGGGCAACATAAAACTGGGAAGTAGGATTTGTGTGCCTGCGCTGTGGATAGGGGTGTGACACTGCCCACTTCATTAGTCTCTGAAGCTTGCTATCTATGTGTCTCTTCACCGCTTTCAAATCAGGAACCAGAGATGCTCACATCTGGGTTTTGGTTCAACCAAATTATTCTTAAATTGCAAGCGTTTGACGCCAGGGTCCTATTCCTTAATTTTCCTTTGAAAATGTTTCAGTTATTGGACTTTATAACAGTTTTCAGGACAGTCATGGAGTTATAGTGGTCCCTGGTTCTTCTTTCAATCTGGCTGTCAGCTACTGGAGTGTACAGTACAGAATGAGCAGGGGGAGAGAGAGAGAGAGATAACAGACTTCAAAAGTTGAGGTTCCGTTTCTCACTGTGGCCTGGGCCAAAATGAGTTCTATCTCACCCTCTCATCACCTTGCAATCCTGAGACCAAAGGGCCCTGGCTGGGTGTCAGCTCTGGGTAGAGGTTAGCACAGTGAGCTTCAGGCTCAGGCAGGTCTGAACGCCGCCACCAACCGGATGGCTCTCGTGGCTTTGGGCAAGTCACTAAAGCCTCCGGTGTTACAGCTTCTGCGGAGAGCAGTAAGTGATTCCTACCCAAAGTGTGGCCGCTGAGGGCAGCCCTGTCCTGCATCCCCCATTCCCATCCGCGGGGCTGTATTTGAAGCTGCCTTTCTGCCCGGGGCCAGGAGTTTCCTTGCCGTGGAGGGAAGGGAGGCAGCGATGAAGTGAGAGTGTAAGGTCTGCTAGCGGCATGACCTCCTTAGTCTCTCTGCACCCCGCACCCTTGTGTCTTTCTAAGTGGCTCCCGGGGATGAGTAGCGGCAGCAGGAGGGACGAGCGAGAAGAAAGCTGTTTCTGCCCCGGGAGTCCCCGCGGGAGCCTGGCCCTGAGCGGCGCGCCGAAATCGAATGCACACCACTCGCTCTCGGACCATCGCAGCCACGTCCGGAGTCCCTGTCCCAGCACCTTGGGTCGGCCCTGGGGGACAGCCCGGGACGCGGAGGGAGGGAGAACCAAGCCTGTGCAATGAAATGCACGCTCAGAGGAGTCTTGCTTCTTCCTGCCGCGACTGTGGACGGGAGGGAAGTCCGCGGGGCCCCCCAGAGGTCGCTGGTGGCGCAGGAACCGAGGGCAGATCAGAGAGAGAGAGAGAGAGAGAGAGAGAGAGAGAGAGAGAGAGAGAGAGAGAGAGAGAGAGAGAGAGAGAGAGAGAGAGAGAGAGAGAGAGAAGGAAAAACACCCAGAAACTTTCTTCCTTGTTGCGAATCATCGCCGCGCCCCCCGCCCCTCCCCGGGCAGAGGCGGTAACGTGACACCGGAGAGAAGCCCGGAGCCCCGAGCGGAGGGAGGGAGAGAGAGAGAGGGAAGAGGGAGGAGAGAGGGAGGAGAGAGGGCCGCGGAGCGCCGGCGGGAGAAAGGGGAGGGGAAGGAGGAAAACCCCTGTCCAGGAGGTGGAGCGAGGGGCTGGTGTCCGCCTCCCGTTCCTCCCAGCCGCTTTTCAGAGGAGCCCGGACCGGGACAACACACGCCGAAAGCGAAGACACAAAGCCCGGGTGCGGGGTCCACGCTGGCGCTGGAGGCGAGCCCCGGCGGCCGCGAGCGAGCCCGAGGCGCGGCGGGGCGCGGGGCGCGGGGGCGCTAGCGGGCCGGGCGCGGGGCCCCGCGGGCCGGGCTCCTCGGCCGCTCGCTCCGGGCCGCGGCGGGGACCATGCCCGGGAAAGTCTCCTGAGCCCGGCCACTCCGCCGTCCCGCCCCACCGGGCTGCCCTCCGCGGCCCTGCCCTGCCCATGTGCGGCCGGCCGGCCGGGCTGTGCGCCCCGCGGCGGATGCTGAGCTCTCCCCGGCGCGGGCAGGCTGTGCGCGGCGGCGGCGCGGGCGATGAAGAAGAAGCAGCAGCAGCAGCAGCATCCCGGCGGCGGCGGCGGCGCGGAGCCCTGGCCCCGCGGGGCCCCCGCGGGGGGCGCCCCTCCCGGCCCGGGCGGCTGGAAGCGCCGGCTGCGCCAGCTCCCGCTCCTGCGCTTCTCCCTCCGGGACTACGGCTTCTGCATGGCCACTCTGCTGGTCTTCTGCCTGGGCTCCCTCTTCTACCAGCTCGGCGGGGGGCCCCCGCGCTTCCTGCTCGACCTGCGGCAGTATTTGGGTAAGGGGCGAGGCGGGCGCGGGGTCCCCGGCCGCGCCAAGTTGTGCGGGGGAGTGGGTTGCGGGGTGAGGGGTGGGGGGTCTAGGGAGGGGAACTGGGGACGCGCCGGGGACTTTGGATGCTTCCTCCCCGCCCGCCCCCGCGAGGATGTCCAGGTGGGACCCCGAGGCCGTCCAGGTGGGACCCCGAGGCCGTCCAGGTGGGACCCCGAGGCCGTCCAGGTGGGACCCCGAGACTGTCCAGGTGGGGCGCACGGGAGCATTGGCGCTGCGGCCGGCCGTGTGGGTTGGCGGGCGGGCAGGTACCCGGCTGGGTCGTGAGGCCGTGGGGTTGGCGGGCGGTGGGGCAGGTACCGGGCGGGGCGCTGCATACCTCCCCACGCCTCCGCCGCCACACCAGGTGGTGTCTGTGGGTGTGCACCAGCGAGTGTGTGTTCCGTCCTGGCCGCGAGGGGAGACGCGAGGGGAAGGGGCAGCCCACCCCGGGCGCTGTGGTGACCACAGTCCTGTCCGGATCGTAGTTCCGTCCTCCAGGCGGTGCGGGTGGGTTTAGCTCCACCCAGATGCTAGGGCTCTGCGGATCCTGCCCGCAGATTCTCCTCGGGCCGCTGGTCTGGGTGACCGGGGGCAATGTCAGGCTCAGAGCTATGGCAGCCCCCCCTCCTCACCCCGTGGCCCGCAGCGCCCTGTGCCCGGGGGTCTGGGCTGTGCCCGGGGGTCTGGGCTGTCCGAGGGCGCGGCCAGCCGGACAGAGGTGGCGATCTGATCCGCTGAGCCCCGTGTTTCCAGCCCAACGTGTGTGTGTGTGTGTGTGTGTGTGTGTGTGTGTGTGTGTGTGTGTGTGGTTAGTTGGTTCATCAGGAGGGAGACTGCCTATGAGTTAGCAGGGGTGCGGAAGGGGGTGTGCAAAGAGAGGAAAGAGCAGCTCCGGAGAGAGGGCGTGACCGCGGCGCCCTGTCCCGCGGCGCCCTGTCCCGCTGAGCGCTGTGGCCAGGCTGATGCAGACCCCTCCCGAGCCCGTGGCCAGGGGGCTGCGGGGAAGCGGGGCCAGGCTGGTAGGGCGCCGGCTTTTTGCAGACCTGCAAGGTGGTAAACCGGAGCCACCCGCAAACATCCGGCATCTGCCGCTCGCCAGCGAGTGCGAAAGAGGAAGGCGCCGAAGCGCTTGGGTGGTGATGGGCCAGAGGACTGTGGCTCCGCACTCACCCGCCAAAGTCACTGGGTCGCTGAAGCCACATATCTGGATAGTGCACTGTTTTTGAAGAAAAACAAAAAACAGAAAACAAAACACCAACTTCAGCAAAGTGACAGGTGTTAGAGCTTTCTGAAATGAAAAGGCAGATACAATAAAGCTCTTTCCACGTGCAGAAGCTCAGCTTCCATTTCAGTAGACACTTCGGGGAGCTGTGGTTTTACAAGATGCTTTAGGGAAAATTCAAGGAAAATGATGTCCAAACAGATTTCCAGAGTACAGTCTTGAGCATCTGGTTTTTCAGAGGATTTGGGGTAATACACACTTTTATTAGGGATTCAAGCACTTCTTCCCCAGAGTTCTGTGTTTTGGAGTTTCATAGCTTCACTGGCTCACAGACACCTGCTGGTGCTACAAAGGTGATATTTTTGCCAACAACAGCAATCACTGCTAACAGGCTTCGGGAAGGAACCTGAAGCTGAGGGGTCTTTCTGAGCAAAAATCTGATAATGAATTCTTACAAGTTCCTTTTAAGCAAAATGTGGAAGCCAATGGTATAGGGCAGTGGTCGGCAAACTCATTAGTCAACAGAGCCAAAGATCAACAGTAAGATTGAAATTTCTTTAGAGCCCAAAACCGACTTCTGCGCATGGGCCACGAAGTTCCTGTCGCACTGAACGTGTGGGCCCGCACGAGGTATTTTGTGGAAGAGCCACACTCAAGGGGCCAAAGAGCCGCATGTGGATAGAGAGCCGCAGTTTGCCGACCACTGGTCTAGGGAAAATACAGAGGATGGGGAAGGAAGACATCTGTGTTTAGTGCCCTTGAGGGCACTTTTGGGCAGGGTGCCCAAACTTCCTAGGCCTCAAGTTTTTTAGGTAAAATTAGGGACTGGACTAGATTGTCTCACACCACTCAGCACCTCACGTGTTATGGTTCTGATACGCCTGTTGGGGATGGAGAAATCTGGGAGGAGGAAGGAACAAAGGCGCCATTGATGGTATAATAAAGACACTTCAATATCGATCACATTATCCCTTTGAAAGTCAAATCCATGTGATATCTAGAATGTAGTGCTTTCATCATATATTTCATAAAACGAGTCCTGATACATTTGGGCTCAGTGGGTAGAAGGGTGAGTCCACAGCATTCCCTCAGGGAAGTAGGGAGAATTGAAGGATTGAACATGACTTGTATTAGGACTGGCCATTGCATTTCTGACTAACTTATGGGTTAAAAATACGACATCCATGTGAACTAAATGTATGGATGCCCTTGGCCAAATTTTGTTATATAAATATAATGCTTTTTTGGAAAAGTGGGCTTTGGCCCTTTAAGAGGCTGTAAAATTTATCCTTAACACTATAAGGCCAAAGTATCTGAAGAATTGGTTTCCTCACTGACTTGCAAAAGGACACCCACAGCAAGTAAGGCAAAACCTGAACCCAATCTGTCTGATTCAGGTATTCACTTTATAGCACTATGAGCAATATAAGAGATAAAATAAAAATATAGCCAAAACGCAAGTGGGAATCTAAAGAGCTGACTGCTCAAATGGTCATACTTATTTGCATAATTTTACTTTCCTTTTCTTGATATTTTTACTAAGTATGTTGAGGGACCAGCAGAAGAAAAATAGCTCAAGCAGCTGGTCTGCTTAAACCCCACCTTCCTGTATGAATCTCCATGATGCTGCCATGTCCTGGGGAACTTGACACCCAGAGGCTCACAACTGGAGGTGATGTGAATTGGAATCATAAATTCTTGATATCTCTCTCTCTTTCTCTCTCTCTCTGGGTTATTCTTTGTTTAGGCTCATGGTTTTCAACGTGTGGTCCCTGGGCCTGCCTCAGCATCACCTGGAAGCTCCACAAATGTCCATCATCAGGTCTCCTCCCAGGCCCAGGGAATGAAAGAGTCTGGGGTGGGGCCCAGCGATCTGGGTTTTAGCAAATCTTCCAGATGATTCTGGTGCCAGTTCAAGTTTGAGAACTATTGTTTTAGAGTAAAATATTGCTTTCAAGAAGTTTCCCATGCATTTGAGAAGGAGAGGGGAGATAGAGAGAGATAGATAAATAGATAGATAGAGGTTTATAAATTATTTTAAAAGTAATGTACATGGTTTCATTTTTAAAAATTTCAACCTTTAAAAATGCATCTGCTTTGATGCCTAAGCCCCATTGTTTCCAGGAAAGGACTAGCCAACAGTGCAGCCAGCTCCAGCTGGCTTTAGGCATTCTAAGGCTGGGGTGAAGCAGGGCAAACAGAAAGAGCAGTGCGAGGAAGGGAAGGAGAGGAGTCCATAATGATGCTTTCTTTTCCTGCTGGAGTCAGGGTCAGACAGTTCCTTCTTTCCAGTCAGTTTGGAAAAAGGCAAAGTCTATTCTCCTTAAAGATTCTTCCTGCTGCAACAAATTGGAAAAATGGAAAGAAAGTTAGGGGGAATAAAATTATGCAAGGATTACTATTGTCCTGACTTCTTCCTATTTGAAATGGGTGGAGAGTCAAGAACACAATTACTGGGGTAAATAGACGAAGATAGCAAATTGCTATACTTAAACTTGGAGACCAAAGTCTTTTCAATTCAGTGAAATTATTTGATTTTAAAAAAAGCAGCGTTCAGACTTTGATTTGCTATGGAAAACAAACAAAAATATAATCTCCCCCAGAAATTAGGTTATGCTGCAGCCTCTGCCAGTAGCCTCATTACTTATGAGCTGTGGAAATATCAAAAACTTGGAATAACACTCGTTACATTGATGTAAACGGAATAAGCCAGATGGCTTACTACTGATCTTATACAACCAGCAAACTCTAATGATTTATCACCAAGCCTTGGATATGTGATTTAGCCTTTATGGGAATTAAATTAGTTGGATTGATCTCAAGTTCATATGCTTTCCTTTCCATTTTTAATTTCTATCACTTTAGTTTTCAAAATTGCCAGTCTTTAAATATATTAAACATGAGCATGACAATTTTCAGTAAAAAGAAAATTAGAGTGAAAAACATGTAACTATTGAATTTAAAATTCTCCAAGTTTAAATGAATATAAAGGAAAATATGAAAATAGACATCCAGATCTTGCAAAATAGTTTCTCTAAATCTTAAAAGCCAAATTTGATTTTTCTTCCACACATCACAGATGATTTAAACATTGTACACCAGGCTCCAGACAGCAATCTAGGAAACGCACTCATAAAATATGATGTTATCAATAGAAATTGTTGACCTAAAAAGAAAATGACATTCCTGTTCATAACTGCAAATTTATCTTATAGGGTTGGATGGGGACATAGTAGCACTGTGTTAGTGGAAGAACAGAAAGTGGCATTTGACTGTGGCAGTCTGTTCCATCAACACAGAATGAATGGTGAAAAGCATCCTGCCTTGTAAACTATTTTTAATGTAGACTAGCCTCAGTATGAATTGTTTAAAAATACATATAAATATGTATTATCTGGATACTGCCTTTCTCAAAATTCCCTGTCATCGAGCCAGGTTTAAAACACTAGTTGGTTTTGTATTTGAGAAACTAGAACAAAAGTGGTTAAGTTTTTTAAGTCCTGAGAGAAATAGTATCTTTTGCTTCCCCAGAGGGAAGAGGCAGGAGCAGCAACAGTAGCTGCCCTGCAGCTACACTCAGGGGTACAGTGATGGACAATGATCAGGCATCTTATTTGATGGATTGTAGCCATTAAAATTATTAGGAGTTATAACTGGCTATTTTTTTTGGAACAAAGTTAAGACTTGACTGCAAATAAATTTTGCCTTACCTGAATTTATTTTTATTATAGAAGCTCAGCTTT